ATATTTACAAAAACTAATCAAAATTGAGTCCATTTTGTGGTGTAATTCATGCGTTAAATTAGTTGTGATTGAAAGGCGATGTCGAGAATGAGCTCTGGTTTGAGACGGAAGTCTTGATCTTCTGAAGCAATTCCCGTTTCACTGAATCGGGAACCGATTGTCGGGCTTTTGGTGTCACTTCTGCTATGAGTTTATCTAATGTGATGTTCTCTACGCCGACATCTCGAACCACATCCTTGCACTGCATCACCACCTGATCCCTCCATCCGCACTCCAGAAGCCGTGTCCGCAACAGTTGTATCAGTTGTTCCCGTTCTCCAGATTCGATCAGATTCTGAATCAGTGGTCAGACAATGAGACAATCAGTGGTTCACTCATATGACACAACCCATGCTGTCATCCAATTCACAGTCAATCACTCCATCGATACCTGTTTAGCGATGGCAACCATCCGACGGTTCCGATCCATATCTCCCATTCCTCCGATTCGGCCGTGTCTTCACTCTTCACTATGAGACCAATTGTCAACAGTTTGTGCCAACAATTGTGGCAATAATTCAAATTGAACTCAATTTACAGATATTTTCAAATCTTATGATTTGTTTTTGTTTCAAACAAATGATTCAACACTCAAATTGCCATCAATTACAATTACTTCACAAAACTTTCATTTGTTTTCAATTGTTATATAATTAAAGAGTTTATTAATTATTTATTTTTCTAAATACTAATCCCGTGTTAATCTCCTTCATAGTGATTAAGATTTAATTTAATTTAATTCAGTTTTGAAGCCAATTAATTAAACTTACAATTAATATGAATAGACGTTATTTATTACTTCAAATTAATTATTGATTTTTTGAAACATTTCTGATTTGAGTCTTGAATACAGATTTTGATTACAATTTGAATTACTTATCGATTAAAGCATTGTTTGAAAGCAATTATCACTTCATCTGAATCGGCGTTGCATTCAATTTGTGGTTCAATTGTCATCAACT